CAGAGGAACAGGAGTGTTGAGAGAATTCACCAGAGGCAGAAGTAGGGAGCAGAACAGGCAGATCGATGAAGTACACTGCTGAGGGGAGCAGCGGGAGGGTCAGGAGAAGTCCTTGACACCATGTGGGTCAGCTCTCTGGCCAGGGGTGGAACTCATGCAGAGGCGGCTGCTGTGAGCTTCATAGTGCTACGCTTTCACACATTCCACCACCAGAGAGGGCCCCTTTTTCTTTTACTTTTAAAAACAAAGGTTGCCTTAAATCTTTTGCTTAGTCTCAGATATGTCCCTTTAAAAAAATGACTCTATAATACTACTTTTTTCCTTTACTAAAGAAAATGCCATTTTACTGCAAAAGATGATTTGATTGTTATGATCGCTGGAAAATAAATTTGAGTTACACGTGAAGATATTTTGGACTATTTCAAATATTTTAAAATCACTCTAAACTTTTTGTTTAAATGGTTATGTGATACAGAATAAATATCCAGTCAAATGTGTTTTAAGAACATTATTTATCCATTATCCCAAACACTGTATATCAAAATTTCCTATGCACTCATGTATTTACCACAGTCTTGGAAATTCTTGGATTAATGACTGTGTTTACCTTCACAATAATGGAAAACATTAAACAATGCAAATTTTAAGCTTGGCAGTTTGACTAATGCTTGTTGAAATTTGCTTAACCTAACCTAAGTAGTACATCTGAAAGAAAAAGTAACAACTATGACTCTTGTTCTTCGCTAGTTCCACTCCACAACCATTATTTTGTGTGTCAGAATGATTATCTTTATCTTTTTTTGCCAATTAATTACTTTTTTTGTGTGCATGATATCAAATGAAATATTTCATTAGATATTTTCATTTTAGGGAACTGCAGACATAAAAGTACCAACCATATCCTGATGTGTGTATGGTCAATATCATACTCTGTATTATTCCTGTTGTAGAAAAACAAAGGTGTTGAAAATCCTTTAGAGTAGTGATGAAGGGTGTCCGAGGGGTTCATGACTCCTGCTAAGTATCTTTTTGATATTAAGCCCTCACCCAAGCACATCAGCTTCTCGCTTCCCTCCCAAAACCTCCTCTCAGAGATTTTTCTAAAACTGATTTTAAACAGTTTAAAATAGTCTCTGATATAAGAACATCCCAATGCCCTCCTTCTAAAAGGCTTCTTTTCAAAGCCTTGAATTTTAAAGTTTAGATTCTTACAGGAATTAGATATTAATTCTTTTGAAATAATTTAAAATCTATCAAGCATTTTAAAGATTATACGTTTATCTTTTTCAAAACCTATCATTCAGAGTACATTGAAAACCTGACTAGTGCCAGTATGGTAGCAGGATTAACTTTGTTCCCTAACATTGGCATGCAATCAAGAAATAACCCTGGTTAAAACCCCTGACAACTCTCCTTTAAGATAAAGCCCATGTGCCTTCGGGAGGGGTCCTTAAGGTATGTCTTGCCAACCATATCTGCATTCCCACTTTGCTCACCCACTTCTCTTCATTCTCCCATTCCCATTCCCTTCATATGCCAGCCAGTCATGGTTTCCCACATGGTTTCCACATGGTTTCTTGAACATACTGTGGCCCTGATGCCTTCCAGGCTTTTCCTTCCTCCTTCTCCCTGGAGCTAACTCCTGATACAGATTCATGACTCCAGTGTAGGTTATCTGGAAGTCCTTCCTTGGCTCATTTAGAATCTGGACCTGGTATATACACACATGGCAGCCATGAATTTGTGACTGGCAGGCATCTGATAACATGGAACATTCTTGCCTAAGAACCTAGCTACTGTGTTCTGAAACCCCTGAAGTCTTTGGACCAAATCCCTGGTTGTCAGAGTCCATGTTTATTTGATGGTGGAATGTGGAGAGATTAAAGAAGATCTGCCCTGGTAGACAGAGGGCTCTCGGGCTTCTCTCTTTACTTAGTTACTCCTCAAATTTGCTGTACCTCCCTCAAACCGTAGCAGACCAGGGAATTTCCACTCACTCCTACCTCCTTCTTTCCATTCAGGAAAGATGGACATTGTGTTCTTCCTGCTTCTCAGCCGTCTGCCCTATGTTTTCTCACTGGCATTTCCTTAAGAAAATCGTTATACATTTAATTGTCTCTTAGCCTGTGATTCTTGGAGAACCAGAGTGACACATAAATGCTGATTCCTGTGAGGGCTCTAAGTAGGGGTTCAGGAAGATGCAATGTCACATTTAGGTAGCTGGTCTTCTGCATTCACTTGTCATGTTTTTGTCAGTGAGATTTGAACTAGTTTTTGCTCTATGCTCAGCACAATATTTAGTGAAGATTTGATACATGTTTGTCAAATGAAAGTAAGTAAATCACTTACTTACTGAGCTTTCAATCCTACAGACAAATATGATGAAAGCTATTTTAAAAATTTACTTACTGCAAGACACTCTGGTTGCTATAGGATACAGAAAACTATTAAGATAATTCCCCATTTCTCATAATTTTAGATCTAGAGATAGAAAAATATAAATACATCATGTTCATATAAAAACATGTGTGTGTGTGAAGGAAATGATGCTCTAAGAAGTTCAGAAAAAAAGGGAATTCACTCTAAGTTGGGAAAATGATATAGATTTCATCAGCAATAGTATTCCACTTGACAAATATTATTTACCTGGTAAAGAAAATTGTATATAGTGGGTGAGGAGAATAACAAAAATAAAATTCTAGAAACTTAATGCTCATGGAGTCTTTGAGCATGAAAAGTGTTATTAACACTGTTAATAAAGAGGGACAAAATGAAACATAACTTCAAATGTCAAATTAAGATGATATTTTACAGAATATTTTTCCTCATTTTCTGAAAACTAGTCTCCCACACTGGCCTATTTTACAGGAACGTTAAGTATGCTTCTTCCTTAGGGCCTTTCTCTTGCTTAACCTTCAGTGTCGTCCACTTTCTCTCTTTTTTTCAATGTTTACTTTGTCACTTTGTCAGTCTTTTTCTCCATCAAGGGGATCAAACCTTTCTAAAATTTTCTCTTTCTTTAGGCACATCCTTGCCATTTTAAGTATAGAACTTATTTGTATTGTTATTTTTAATAACAAATAAAATGTCAGCTCAATCAAAACATACTCTTCTTTTTTTTATTGTTCTGTCTATATTAGTAGTCAGCACATCTTAAGTACTGAGGAAATATTTCCTGATGAATGAGAGTTAAGGAATCATTAAAGATTCTAAAATCAGAATGGAAATATTGTGCTCAGTATGGTAAAACAGCGGTTGAAAGAAAAATTCCACGTGTCTAAAATTAGAAAACCAAATCACTTGGGGTGGGCGTAATGATGGGAGGCAAGACAAAATGGTACCACTGCACACTACAATAGGGGTCACGTTTATCAAAACATGGTTCAACATCATTGGCAGCAGCTGAGAATTGGTTGAAAATGCAAATTCTCTGCATCTGCCTCAGACCTACTGGGTCAGAAAGTGTGGGGTGGAAGTCTAGTTGCTAATGTTTTACCAAGCTCTCCAGGGATTCGGAGGCTGCTAGCATTGAGCACATAAAAGAAATAATTAGTGTAGGCAGGACGATCTAAGATGTAAATGCAGTGAAGGCGATTTGACTCATAAGTGGAATATAATGAAACAAAACAAAGCTGACTTTTGAAATCCGCAGAAATGAGGCTGTAGAGGGTGAGGAGTAGGGAACCAAGTGTGAGAGAGACTCAACAGGTAACAGTGCAGGGTTATTGGGGTATTGGTGAGGATGCGCTGTGGCACATACATCTGAAGAGGTGTGAATTTATTCCTCTAAATCACATATCATGTTGGAAATCAACATCATCTGAAAAAAAAACCGGGGGAAAAAAAAAACAGAAATAAATGAAGGATACTGCTACAGGGTATTTTTAAAATGTGGACTGTCTTTACATATGAAAGAGTAATAATGTCGCTGAAAGAAATAGGAAATACAGAAAAGACTTGATGGGGGAAAATAGCTACAACTTAAAAATCAGATTATCTTCCTATCTATCTATACACATTATTTATTAAACAAGTTTTACACATTTTTTTCACATTAAAATTAAATTCATTGTGTATGATCTGTGTGTTGCATAACAAGAGGACAAATGATACAATTTAAACTATATGTATACTTCTGGGACCTCCTATTATCAATGTTTTCCCAAAGTAGTGATTTTTAAAAATATCCACAGCCAGTGAATAGTCCATGTCAAAGATCATGAATATATTTCATAAGACATTGTTTAATATCTTAGGTCTGAATTTTTTGAATTATACAGATGAGAATGATAGTTAACAAGAATATCTAAACGGAGACATCTAGTATAATACCAATTTCTAATTGTTAATTTTCCTATGAACTAAAGTGTATTTTTAAAAGTATTTATTTATGCATACATAACTGGGGTATAGGCCAGAAGTGCAGGGGCAGTGCGAGAATTCGCCAGAAGCAGAGTAGGGAGCAGAACAGGCAGATGGAGGAAATACACTGCTGAGGGGGTGTGGCTGAGACAACAGAAGTCCATCAGCCATATGGGTCATCTCATCTGGCCAGGGATCAAACTTGGCTGTGGCTAGCTTCCTACTGCTGTGCTTCAACATGTTGCACCACCAAGGAGGACTAAGCTAAAATGTATTTTTTTTTTAAGATTTTATTTATTTATGCCTATAGAGCTGGGGTACAGGCCAGAGGTGCAGGGGTGGTGAGAGGATTCACCAGAGACAGGGGAGTAGAACAGGAAGATCCACGAAGTACACTGCTCAGGGGAGCAGCGGGCTGGTCAGGAGAGGTCTGCCGCGCCTTGTGGATCACCTCTGGGGCAGGATCGAACTCATGCTGAAGTGGCTTTAGCTTCTTTGTCCTGTGTTTTAAGCCGCTGTGCCACCAGGGAGGGCCCCTAAAGTGTACCTTAATAAGTACTCAAAACAAAAGAGTCAAATAGCAGTATCAGTTACATTTTCCATTTTGAACAGAAGCTTAGGGAAAATAACTTACTGGTATTTCTTCCAAGTTTGAGAATGTTGGTGTCAAAAGTATTTCTAGAAATTAAGAGTACTCCACAAGTTGGCGATTGTGTGGCATTGCCTATGAGGAGAATGACCAGAAAAAAGACAACAAAACTTTTTACTCTGAATTTAATTGTTATTTCCTCTGCAATTCTTCAGAACCTTAATCAATACTTCAAACCTCAAACCTCAGTAAACCTTCTTTCTTGATTGTCACTCACTATTGCTACAGATGTACACAATAACCGTTATTTTAGGAAACATTTTTTCTAAATGCTCATGCTGCTAAATTACCATGGAAAATCATTTAATTCAAAAAGTAGTTGCACTTAGAAAAAGCAAAGTGCTTGGCTGGCACTTACTCAAAAGCGGATCTAGTAGCTGCTTCCTTTAGGTTCCATTGTAATCTCAGGCTCCTCGCAAATTTTAATGGGTATTGGAAGTAAAATAAGCATAGGTTTTTTGAGAAGTGCCTCTTTGGAACTTTGAAATGAAAAGAACAAAAAAGCATCCTAATTTTCATTTCCTCATCAGCTATCAAAAATATTTTAGAGAATGAGATGTTTGAGCATGACTTTTACATTGCAAAACCAAGCCATTATTGTTTTTGGAATATTAACCTTTTCACATTAAATTAAGATGGAGCACACTTCAATTAAATTTTATTGACTTATTTAACATGTGCTTTCCGATTTCCAAAAATTGCACTCTTATTCTGATGTCTCTAGAACTTATCTTATTTAAAGATTTATTTATTTATGCATACAGAACTGGGGTGTAAGCCAGAGGTGCAGGGGCGGTGAGAGGATTCACCTGAGACAAAGTGGGGAACAGAACAGGCAGATGGGGAAAGTACATTGTTGAGTGGTGCAGCGGGGCAGACAGGAGAGGTCTGCCACGCCACGTGGGTCAGCCCCCTGACCAGGGATTGAACTCATGCTGAAGCAGCTGCATCCAGTTTCCTTAGTGCTGTGCTTTAACCCATTGTGGCACTAGAGAGGGCCCTCAAACTTATTTTTTAAAGGATCTAGTATTCTGAGGTAAAAGTTTGTCTTTATTTTACTAAGTCACCACTAAGAAAACCTTGGAATTTTTTTTTTTT